GCGAAGCTTTTCGGTGACTGGTTTCCCTGGTCACGTCTCGAATGAACAGTCAACCCATCGTTCCCGAAGGGGCTGATAAATAAATGGTAGTTTTGTAACTGGGCAACGTCCCACTTTTGACACAAATAATCGTCAGGTCAAGTGAGTAGGTGATCCACCTAAGTTTTGAGGCAGCCGGAGATTAAATCACCAAGACCGCTTCCGACTAGCACACCAGATCAGTGATGGATATCACTCAAAAGGTTTTCTCGGTTAGTGTGGCTGCCTAAATCATAACGGTTTATGAATTGGGGGAATTCCATTTATTTTTTATCGGTTTCGGGCCCTTGACCTTCCGATTCAAGGTGCTTCAATCACTTATTCGCCTTTGATGCCATTTATGACTTTTTTGCTCTGTGTAGGTTTGTAAGGGCTACGACGACCTAACTGGGGGAAAGGGTGAGAGTGGACGGAATTTTCGGTCGGTTTGATTCATCATTTCAGATCTAAACTAATTTTGTTGACGTCTTCTGTTTCTGATGACCGCACACCACTACCAGTTAGCTTGTTTACCAAGCCTTTCTAGAACCATGACTCCTCAATCGGCTCCAAACTTTTCCCTACCACAACTCACTTCCCCCTTCACAAAGGCGCGAAAAACTCTGTGAATGAACAGGATACGTCAAATTCATGATTTTTTAGCATTACCACTTTCCTCATGTTACTGTGGACATTGTCAGTATGTCACTGGACCTATATGCTGTATACGATTGTCACTAGCTCAGCAAATTTTCAATGGAAATTTCAGGGTAGGAACAGGGAAGCGCAGCGGTCAAGCTCAGGACATGAGTCGACTCGCGGTTACATGGAATATATAAACAACTTTGGTGCAGATTTCCATCGCAAACAAGCCGTCACTTTCAGGGATGTGTGTAAAGCCAAGACGCCACAGAAACGGATTTTGGAAAGCTTGAAAATGCTGTGAACTCCACAAGCTGATGGGCTACCGGTTTTGTAAGCACGAATACGGAAAGAACAAACATACTGGTTTGAGAAGACTCGCCGTGACAGAGTTTATGAAAACGATAGTATGAACGAATACACTGCGGAACTGAAATAGTTCCGCTCTGAACAACAAGCCACTTTGCTCCTGAATTCACTTTTGGATTTCTTCCAAAGGTCACGATATCCAGTTGTTCTGTTACAACTCCTCTTCTCAAATCAGAAGAATCACTCGTCTACTGTTTTCACATTCTATTGTAGGGCTTCGGAAACCCACAGTCTTATCTCTTGGCCTTGTGATCCCGCTCGAGTGCGGATGCGACTGATACCAGCATAAATACTGGCCAAACACGCTGAATGTACTACTGCAGCCCGCCACAAGCGATTATCTAGGACAGTCCCGAATCGATACCCAACAGTCCCTGCTATATAGTCATGTAAATTAATGCTATATGGTATACAGAATATACCACCATCGAAATCATTTCACTGAGATGATCAAGAAAGCGCCAGCATTTATGGTAGCGGATCAGCAGCGCGTACGGCCCAGTTACTAAGGTTGCTCTTTAGGCTCGGACAATCTGGCAGTACCCAAGCCCTCGTGCTTCTTTCAGGTGTAGTGGCAGCTAGGCACCGAGGCTGAACTAAGGAATGGATGCACGTGACCTGTGTTTAAGTGGACAACAGAAGCTGCACTGACCGATTCCAAGAAGATGCTTTTCGGCATGTCTCAATGATGGACGACTAACACAACTTCGGTCGGTAGTCTGAACCTTGTTAGACAGAAACGAACAAACATCGTGATTTGTCCGTATGGTACCGAATAACTTACGGCTACCAAATTAATTTTTCGCCAACGGTGAGCCGAAGAGGAAGTTCTATGGAGATCCTTACAACCTATCTTTTCATCTGGGCTCTCTGAACAGAAGCAGTTCAAATTCGAACCAGGAATATTAGAAATGCTGTTAAGATGGGTTATCTATCCTTTATCAGATTGCAGACCTGGTAGATGAGGCCTAATATAAACATTCCAACTGAAGCACAAACCGATTTTTTTCTGTTTGGACGACCAAGCATGTTAGCAATTTGGACTTTCTCATATAACAGTAGCGCATTTCTAGAATAGCTTTTAGTTGGCCTTGAAATGTATACGAAGCCAAGAGCACAGTTATATCCTTCTGAGAGAAAAGAAACGTTTGGAAGAAAAGAAGTTTATGGCTAGCAACTATTTGGCCTGACCTTGTAATCGATGTCATGATATCACACTGGCATTTTCAGGATGGCAACACGAGAGCGGTCTGCACTCTGACCGGAACTAAATTAGTCTAGGCCACTTGTTTAATGTGGGGTCAACTTTGCTGCTGGTGTTTTACTTACTCGTGTTTGTAGGAAATCAATACCAACTTGGTAGTAACGGGACTCAGACAGCAATGTGTTTTGGGAAGTGGGTTGCTGAAGCCATAAAAGATTCCAGACACCTGGTCGACAGAATGAATGGAACAGTAGAAACAGAGAAGACCATTGACGGGTTGAAAGTACCATTGTATGGAAATGCAAATGTGTTTAACTCTGGTCCAAATTTATCCGCCGAATTCTTCAGACGATCTCTAATATCTCGGGTTATGCTACTGTTTCCTTTTTCCAGGCTACATCTGTTGTACTGGATATCCACGTTATGGTGATCACTCCAGTCACCACATGGTTAGATGAGCCCGTGTAGTCACGGTCAGCTGATCACACATGCTCTGGGTTAGTGATGGTCGTTCCGGATGTTTAATATTGTCCAACTTACAGCGACGTTCACAGTCAGTGAACAATACACCAGCGGGCTAACGATGCATTAAACAATTAGCGACAAATCGGTCAACCGCTGTGCGAAAGTGGTTTACGGCTAGTTTCGACTATTTGGGGTCTTTTCAGAGAGTGCGTTGCGTCAACCAAGATGCTGGGGACTGCAAAAAATCCTAGCTTTTTAAATCGAGGTTTCCTCCTGTGAGTGGAGCCAATCTATCCTGAGAAGGCGAGAAAAACCACACGGGGGTTTCATCCTTATCATTATCAGTGCGCACCGCATGTAGCCCACGGGAGTCTCGAACACATGAACTAGCAAATGAACAATTAAATGCTTAATCAGGGGCGGCTGATCAAAACTTCCACCTAGAGATGACAGCGCCGCTCACACCGCATGACCATATACTGACTGCCCCCAGCACCGAGCGAGGGACTTCTCTGTTCGTATGAATTCTTTTGAACTACTCATGGACCATTAGTAGTGTGAGATCTGGTAATCTTTAGCTGAGATACCCCTCGTGTAAGGCCAATCCACGCGAATCTGCGACTAGCTTGGAGGAAAAATGCAACTACACGATTAGTGAGGCTTTCGTCTGTAAAGCCATCACTCAAGGAGCCAGCCAAAAGGTGATGTGAATAATCCTGATTCCATTATATCCTGCCTACTTGTGAGTCAACTACACTCTGGTTATCCGTTCGCAGCCGAGCGGTTGATTTCGAGCTACTGGTCGGGAAGGCGAGTTTTGTCAGATGCAAACTGCTGATGATTCTCAATAACTATCAGGAAGGTAGTCAGATAGAACAAAGACGATGGAGCAGTTTATAAATATAGATCGGTCTCACTTACAGGACGAAATCTCAACTAAAAAGAAATCCCAAATCTCTTCGAACAAAGAAACCCAAACTACTGGATTTATCGAACACAGCACCGTGAAATAAAAAAATTCCAGTCAGAGCGTTGAATATCTTCACGCGAATACATCTCATCAGCAGTGACCGTAAGGCGTTAGTGGGATGGCACCATCAGTGAGTGGCGAATTTTCTTGATCCCGTTATACCGACAACGCCTATGTGCCTTGACACACATACCACACCATAGTCTGTTTAAATGCAAAAATCAGGCAATTTAAGACAACGTAAGTTAGCAGGTAGAATGTACGTCGCACGGGATTCCGAGTTGTCCAGTCATAAGGAGCCCACACAGTCACAAGTGTACCAAGTGAAAAAAGGTGACAATTCAGCAATGTCCTGGAGGAATATGACTGTTTCTTAACTGCGACGAAGCACGAGAACTGACCAGGTTCCCGAAGTCTGGAGAGGTCATAGGACAGTCTAGAAGTATACTGGATTACGCACCCTTTGGCCATTTGTTCGCCCACACTCGGATTCCAAGCATCTAGTTTTTTTAATTTTTCGGTCTACCGAGAAACCAGCTCCTCACTACATAACTTATCAAGTTAAAGCGATTTCTACCCGGTTACGAAATCTAATAGGCATCTGACGGCACTGAAAATTCAAATGAACTGCTCCAACTCTCCACAAGCGGTCTCTTGTAATTTTGGACAGATGTCCAGAGCTGAAATTCGATTGTGAAAAAATATGTGTCCAAAAACAAATAACATAGAAATACCGATTCAGAAACTTTAACATTAGACTGCGTAGTCATTGTCCTCTTTGAGAATCTGTGTGTAATAAACCACTGTGTGATGTCCACGCTCGAAAATAGAACATTCTTGATTGATAATGGCTCCTAAGTCTACAATTTCTGTTCGTGTATAGCACTCCATTATTGTTATATCACTCTCAAATTTTGACTGTCGCCTGTCCCTTGGTGTTTTTTTATCTGTATACGTTGTTTCTAAAAAAAGAGATTTGATTTCCATGGAAGAATGGTATTCTCATGGAATTTATTTCCCAGTTCGAATCCAATAAGTTCGAGGTATTTTTTCTACGGCAAATGAAATACTATTAAAGTACCTCCTTTACTCTATCCTACCAAAATAACTTTTGAAGAAAATTTTCGATTATAATGGGAACAAATTAATCGTTCAGCTGTAACATCCCTTCGTTGCCTAGCTACAACATCACCCGAAGTAAGCACGAGGGCTGAGATACTGCCAGTTTGTCCCGGCACCAATTGGGAGTAATAGAGATCGTCATTCTCGAGTTGTGCGTTATTCTCTGAATTACCTTGGGAAGGACGATGTTCCCGCGAACTAGCATGGCAAGCAGTTGTGTTCATGCATTCGAAACATGCAAGTAATAAGCACTAGTTACTGGTCATGGCGTGACATTCGTTACCGGAAATCAGGCGCAAGAACGGAAAAATTGCGCTGTCAGATGGACAAGAAATAACTGTTGTCCCAATAGGATAGCCCAAGGAGAAAATTGGCACACATTGGTACAAGTCAATCAGGATCCATCCAAAAAAACACAAGATGAAATTAGACGTGCAAACAGGTTTTCACATTGCATTTACGATCACAACCAAAACAACATACGAAGCCGAATGGGGAATCCACTCCGGCTGAAGGGGTGGGGGGAGAGAATCGAGGACTCTATCAAGAGTTTCTACTGTCTTGAACGATACGAGCCCACCGAATTATGGGTAGGATCACACCTCAAAACTGGCTACTTCCAGTTGCAAGATGGGAACAAGAAATAGGCAGATGAGGCTGGGAGTAAGAACAAAAAGATATGAGAACTAACAAAGACATTGGGGTAAGACATTCAACTTAAAACAACCGGACATTTCATCGACGGCCAGTTGTGCACCAGTGTTGCGCCGTCCAACATAAACACAATTTTTCCGGGCAAGAGACTGGCTTGCTGAGCCGACTGACGTTTGCACGGATAGGAGACAGATTGAAAGAAAAAAAGACTGGGAAGAACAAGTGTAAAGATAATGAAAGACGACACATGATTGGTACACGGATTTTGGGAAAGGAAACTGTTGCAATCCGAATGTGGTGATGGCTGCGAAGTTAACCCAGATGTCGTCGGGGGAATGGAAAAGTCTACCGGAGGCGACCGGATCGGAACTGTTTGCGTAGTTTGTTCAGAAGTCCACCTCCGTTATTGCAAGTTGTGTTGGATGAACTACTACCTTTTGCGGAGAGATCGCTGGAAACCACCGGTTGCTTTTTCAGTGAACTGGTTAAGGATGGCTGGTCTGATGAGGGCTTACTTACATTATACGGTCGGAAAACAACGGGAGGGGAAGATTGATGGGGTTTGGTGTTGGGCTTAGTCGTCGAAGGCCCTGCGTGACGTCCTGCACGGCGCTGTACCTGACGTGGAGTAATGACTTCGGTGGTTAGAGTCGTGCGGCGAGCTGAGAAACACAAGGGATACGTGATCACTTGGGTGTGTGCAGAAGAAATCGAAACGTTTTATATCGTCGAATAGTGTTCAACAGGACTCCAGACCTTATCCACTTAGATATAGTTTAATGTTCTGCAAAAGTCGGCTGCAACTATCCGTCAAGTTTTATCCAAATGGGTCGAATGCCTACCAAATTTGGGTTCCGGTGAACGAGCGTCAGTTTCGCTCAAAGGATAACGCACTCCACACCATTGTACGGCTACTTCGTATACAAAAGCTTCAAAACAATACAAGAGACCGTTGTCATCGACAATAAGGAAGGTCTCTTGCAACTCTCCCGAGATGCTGGGACATATTGTCAGCGGTGTGCCATCTAAAAGTTTCTACGTTAACTGTTACGAGTGAATGTTTAGGGGGGTATGGGATAGGCTGGCACTTTTCATTTGTTCTCCACTTGAGTGTAGGGTTTAAAACATTCCCGTGGTTGTGCGGAAGCAAACTAGTGTTGTCAGTTACAATGATTTAGACTATGGATAACTTAGCAGTTCCAGCGATGCGAAGCATGAAAAAAATTACACAATACGCTGCCAGGTTGACCGAATTAGCACGCGAGTTCGCATAATGACATGTGCAAACTCTAGACGTTCTTTGAAGGTGGTCTATGACGGTAGATGAACCAATGTGCGAAAAATAGGAGAAAAAGCTCACAGCAACACTGGTGGTTTATAGCAAACGGACTAAAAATAAAACGAAATCGATCGCACTGTGATAAGAGAGCACTTGGTCGATGTCGTCCGTTAGTCATTAACAACTGGTCTGCACGTACTCTCACGGCCGGAGTATTGTCTGTCTATCTTAGGGACGTGTAGTCTGGTCACAGAATTGTCCAAAAGTGTTAGCATTTGTGGACCAAAACGAAACGCGACTGCAGTTTACTTCAAGCGATGATTAGTCAGGTTAGTAGCAACCACACATTCGTCCACTTGGTAGGATATGTAGTGCCGTTATTGATCGCGTCTTTTGTTCAACATACAAAACTCCTGAGTGTTTGAATTGTCCACGCCCTTTTGCTATTTTTTGTTCAGCTATCTACGTCTGAAATAAGTTAAAGTCTGTTTCCCAGAAAACTCGAAGGACTGTGAGTCAGTCAGTCAAGGTGGTTACGGGCCTTCGGCCAACGGGTAAATGAACAGAGGTTGATTACGGAACTGAAACGACAGCAGAGTAGCGTTTTGAAACAAACAAGGAGACGGAAAAATCACGGGTGTCACGAAAAGGCCAAAAATGAAACATTATCGTCGTTCACTATTCCAACCTAGATAAAAATAATCAGGATTTCACAGGTGGCATCACACCCAAATTCTTTGCCATTATTGGGCGGAATCACACGGCTAAACCACACGACTGTGGGGAGTTGGGCGCTGCAGCGAACGTAACTCACACATGAGGGGCTGAAACAAAAGGTTGATGGAAGCCCTCCGGCGTCAATGCTCAACCCAGTACTCCGTTAATGCGTTCAGGATGTTCTTTTCACAGGAACCTGTGGCTTGGGGGGGGGGTGATTTCAATTGGCGAAGGAGATGGATGGTTGTGAGAGGCGTGAGTTGCTGACTAGCAAACTTTCTGAATGAGCCAAGGATGTATTTGGACGTTTGGCGCATTACTGGTCTACTCACGTCTGGTCTACTACTGCCGCTCAGGTGTAAGTGGGTTGCGAAATTTCTAGCTCTATCTTCACCACTCACCGGAGTTCTGCAGGGCATCGGTCAGGACCCCATGGATATGTGGACTCCAACGGGTATTGAACACAGAAATCTCCTTCGTTTACAGACTCCAATTACATGGAACGATCCCACTACCGCCAAAAGCCTCACAGTATTGAACTCCTGCGGTAGGAAGCTCACTTTTCTCAGTTTACTAGCACAACTGGACTTTTACGACCGGACCGCGAACATATGAAGCACCTGTAATCATTTTAACTAACAAACTACAGGGACAGGTAGAGTATTCCTGGAAGACAAATGGGTGGATATGCTGACATACGCCTTAGCAAAAACAACCTTAGTGGGTGGCGAATTGGGATCGGCTACCTCGGTTTTACCAATAACGTTTCCTGTGCAGAGGTACCGCTGATTACAGAATCCAAAAGGTACCTACCTTCTTGTTCTTCTTTGATTTTCCGAGCAGACTGAGAGATGATGCGGTTTAGTCGACTGGTTTCCTCCTGGGAGAGTCGTTGATAGAACGAACACCATGTCTCTTTCGGACGCGGTACCTCTTCCTTCCGATGCCGAAAGGTAAGCTGGACATGGCGTTGCCACAGCTCATCGGTGCAACCGACAAATTGCTGTGGAAATGGAGCGCAAGGAAGAACTCAAGTGGTGGGCACAAAAAGCTTTCGTTGCTATCTATCCAACCCTGAAGAAACGGTATTATATGTGCTACTCTGCTGGTTTGGTTGTGGATAACAGGTCCCACACAATTACTTGACGAAACGTTCACGTTCGGATTCACAATAAAACTAACAGAGCATAAACACAATAAAAGGAATAATAGCAAAAAAGTGGGTCGATGAGATTGAGTACAGAACTAGTCTTGAAGTCGCTTACTGACATGACCTTGACTTTTAGACCATTATCTCAGAAAACAGGACTAGTCAGCTTCGGAAATGTCTCGGATCGCAACTCACGATAGCACCGGATACCATCGAACGAGTCTATTAGAAAACTATCATTTTCTATGAGTGCTTATCATCAACATCAGTGTTGACACCCATGCTTAACTGCTCGCGCTGTTCTAGTGGCAACAACGCTGGAGACAAGAACCAGCTACATTATCTCCACTTGAAATTAAGACATGAACATGGTATCGTGAGGTTTATTGGAGTCCAAGGAAAGCGATCGAGTTACAACAATTCCCACAATCCCCATTCCTACGAAGTGGTTATTTTGAGGTTTGCTAACTCACCAGAATCTACATAATGGACTAAATTATGATGACGGATGAAATCAGAGGTGCGATTAGCAGCACCCGTACCCTCGGTGAAAATCGTTCCCTTAAGTTGACTGATTTTAAGCGCCGATAAAAATCTGGTTGAAGGCGTGATCAATGCGACCTCATGATGTTTGAGAAATACCCACGCAGTCAACCGAACACTTTAACTTCCCCTCCTATTAGAAAGACACTTTCCCTGCTGATGGTGTCTCCCTGTCTGCGGCTGATGAGGACGTTATTTTGCACTATTTTTGGAAGTGTCCAATCTTCCAAAAGAACTCTTTGAAGGGATCGCTAGGGTTGAAAGGGCGCTTGACCCGTTGCTTCGCCAACGGAAAACGTGAAGAAGGGGAGATAGCAAGTTTTTTGAGGCTATCCCTTCTTACATAAGGCGTCCGAGCCAACAAAGAACAAATCGTCTAGTCCTGACACTTTTGACAAATTGGGAGGCATATACACTTTGTTAACAGAAGGTGAGTCGAATAGGCGCTCATTCTTTGTGCAGTATGAAATACTGTGTAACCATTTCGCTAGTTCATGTTAACTGTACAGCATTGATCTTTGATGCGATGCGTTTTTGACTAATGATGACAAATTATGACGTGGCTAGATAAACATGTGCTGGCTTATTTCGCCTATACCAAAGCTGTTCAAATGGCTAACAGGCTAACACCAGCTATGTACCGTGACCCCCTCTTTGAAGATGAGGAGGTCGCATACTAGAATGCACCTGGCGGCAAACACTTTCCAGAAGAGGTTCACCTCTCAGGAGAGGGCGTTTTAGGGATCACCCCATTGTGTGCAACAGCAATCAACAATGTTCGACTGAAAAGTGTCCCAAAAAACATGGCCTCACAATAAAAGCACTGAGCCAGATCTAGAGTCTGATAGGGAGGCAGGCAAAGACATTCTACTCGTCAAAAAGCACACAGATCATGTTCATCCCTGGTAAACGGAAAGTAGTTTGAACGTATATGTTGTCGCCTGTCATATTGTTGAAGGCCGTCGTTGTCATGTCAAGCAAACTGTACCTGTCAATTAACGGTTGTGGATTATACCAGAGCACGCCTATCACACGCTTCAGCCGATCATTTTAACCAAGGTCAAAGTGCTTCTTCTCATCGCTTCGCCTAACTGCCTTTTAGCAGTTAAGGTCACATCACGACTAAAAGACTAAAACGCGACCACCTCGATTGTCGACCCTCCGACGACGGAGCGTGCAGTAAAGGAGGGACTCGGAGGGGCTTTGTTGTGTTTGAGGGCATGTAATGTGGAAGAACAGATATGCATTCAAATCCCCTAGAACGCGCAACTCAGTTTTCCGCGCATACCGATAGTCAACAGTTTATGGGTTTTTTTTCCTAATGGTGTAGACAATGTCGTCACGATGTGACAGATTAGTATTGGGCGAAAGACTGTGTTACAAAGGTAGAACTCAATGGATGCCTCGAAACGGCGTCAGTGGGGAACCACTCTGCGAGTTACGAACAAACAGAATTCCTCCAACAAAGTAACAGAGAGGAGAATGTGGTGTTGTTTTCCATTTAGCATCACCACTGAGAGAAACATCAGGGCTTCATCTACCACCATTAGAGGCAGCAACATCAGCGTTGACAGTGATACTTGGCCACCATTCAACCATAAATTTCATTTGATTATATTTAAAGTGAATAAAAGATGGTCTCGTGCTTCTAGAGTCTGATAGGGAGGCAGGCAAAGACATTCTACTCGTCAAAAAGCACACAGATCATGTTCATCCCTGGTAAACGGAAAGTAGTTTGAACGTATATGTTGTCGCCTGTCATATTGTTGAAGGCCGTCGTTGTCATGTCAAGCAAACTGTACCTGTCAATTAACGGTTGTGGATTATACCAGAGCACGCCTATCACACGCTTCAGCCGATCATTTTAACCAAGGTCAAAGTGCTTCTTCTCATCGCTTCGCCTAACTGCCTTTTAGCAGTTAAGGTCACATCACGACTAAAAGACTAAAACGCGACCACCTCGATTGTCGACCCTCCGACGACGGAGCGTGCAGTAAAGGAGGGACTCGGAGGGGCTTTGTTGTGTTTGAGGGCATGTAATGTGGAAGAACAGATATGCATTCAAATCCCCTAGAACGCGCAACTCAGTTTTCCGCGCATACCGATAGTCAACAGTTTATGGGTTTTTTTGCCTAATGGTGTAGACAATGTCGTCACGATGTGACAGATTAGTATTGGGCGAAAGACTGTGTTACAAAGGTAGAACTCAATGGATGCCTCGAAACGGCGTCAGTGGGGAACCACTCTGCGAGTTACGAACAAACAGAATTCCTCCAACAAAGTAACAGAGAGGAGAATGTGGTGTTGTTTTCCATTTAGCATCACCACTGAGAGAAACATCAGGGCTTCATCTACCACCATTAGAGGCAGCAACATCAGCGTTGACAGTGATACTTGGCCACCATTCAACCATAAATTTCATTTGATTATATTTAAAGTGAATAAAAGATGGGCGGTCTCGTGCTAGTCAAACGAAAGCATTCTGAGGTGTCTACGCCCCCCAAGCGCTCAATCAGACAATCTGGAAAAAAAACTGACAGCACAAACGTCGTCAACATGTTCGTTGTGTGAAGTTTTTGTGAAACGATGAAGAAACCCACACTGCGCCTGCCACAAACATTCCAGCGTGCCCAAGCCTCAAAACATACGATCGAACGATCTGCAGTGGAAGGACTTAAAATGTGCAGTAACCATATTTTTTGATCTTATCTACAGCCTTTTGAAAAACAAAAGACTGCTGAATTCCTCATTCGCAACGCTGAGATCGACATGAAAATGAATGGACTTGAAGTGATTATTGATTGCCGGTCTCCGTATGACAACCACCGTCACGTTCAAGGCATACGTGGAAGGAACGAACACACGCGTAACGTATGTGCCAAAGAAACGCTCAGCAGTAGAACCCCTTCGGTGCCTGACTACCGTGTCACTCGAAAGAAGCACGAGGGCTGGGGTACTGCTAGGTTGCTACACAGAGGAAGTCGATACGCAGAGATCAGATTGGAACCACGGACCTTCCGGTCAGTGAATTCACGCTGTAACCACTGAGCTATCTTGTTAACATCAATTCATATCATCATACTTTGGTTGCGGCAATTCGAGACATCCGAAAACAGCGAACAACTGTATGGAGTGAGTTTAGCTAGTACCTCGTATTACAAAATTACAGGAAAACTCGCTCTGAGGTGTATCACTCCAGCACCACCAATAAGCAAAGTTATATTGAAGTGAGCTCAGACTCCAAAGGAAGGGAGTTTCTAACGACAGCGGCATTTTTATGGTGATTATTGATTAATGGTATTGTCCTCTATGACCCACATATGTTAGCTACGAAACCATCGGTTGAAAATTGTTAATTAAGCGGGCAGAACAAAACGCAAGTCAGAGAGTGAAAAGCGATCGATAGACATGAACGTAAGTTGTTCTGTTATGTTTTTGCACAGTTATGTTCAAGGGTCCACGAATTGTCACTGTGTTTATCTACCGTCGTTGAGCATGCACTGACGAGCAATTCATGTGAATATGCTGAAGTAGACGAAGAGAAACCAACAGGGCGTGGCGGTTTTCAATGAAAGGAGATACTGCGCCCTGACTGATCAGTCGATTTGATTCCAAGGTGAAAACTAGTAAGTAACTGAGATGTGTACACTGCAGCTACTCAAATTCGACCGACACGTTCTCCTCGCTTCGAAACTTTTAACGAATGCGCCGTGTATTTTTAGCAGGCACAGAATTAATGAGCAGCGTGGTGCACGTAAGCTTCGAACTTGAAATATGCAATCGATAGGCCGAACGTCAGGAAATTCGGGCAAATCATCACCACCAACAACACACCAGCAGTGCCTAGCTCCAATACAACCATCAGGAAATAATGCACTGGTAGATGACTGACTTCCTACACTTTCACGTTTTCCATCTTCCACCCTACCCCGCCCAAATTTGAACACTTTCTCCGCTCTAGGACTGCCCGTTGTGCTCGCCCTGCATCACACTCAGCTATAGCTTCTGTACGTCCGAGTTCAGTGACAACTCTGAACACTTCGAAGTCTTTTCCAAACCCCGAAATCCTGTCCACTTAGCCGCCCTTAATGTTCGCGCACTAAAACAAGCAGTTTAACAGACGAATCTTGATTGTATACTAAATTCCCTTTGCATTGATTTATGTTGTCTGTCACAAACAAGGATGCAGGAGGCAAGTACTGTGATCAAACTGACTGCCTCATCGCTCTCCTCCAGGTTCTGGCTGCGCACCTCTCGAGATGCGGAGGTCACTGCAGCGGGATATGTCGAGGTGGGCATGGTATTGAGCGACCGAACGGAAGCGTCTCTACTTGACTGGATACCCGTTGGTAGTTGCCTCTGTGAGGTTTGTTTAGCAACATTTGTGAGAGAACCTACAGGAAGTGAGGACCATCGCACCTTGTCTTTGCTGGATACTCGGGGACATATTCCCGCTGGCCGGAACCACAACTCCACCCGACATATCGCCCGACACCAGGTGAAACTGAGTGTCCGTGCAGACTGAGAAGCCTGGTGGACCCGAAAGGAAGAAGTCGAAGGTGC